TTGTCACTAACATCTCATTGATTAGTATAATGATTAGTAGATTAGCTTGTAAAATCCAGTCATTTCTTACTTGTGAATTCATCAATCAAAACCGCCTCTGCAGCCTCCTGCAAAGCCAGAATTGCAGATGCTTGAAATCGAAGATCACCATATATATCTGCTGCAATTTCACGGACAAGACGCTGGAATGGGAGCTTGTGAATAAGAAGCTCAACATCACGCTGATAACGGCGGATTTCACGGAGAGCAGTGGCTAAAATAATTAAATTAGATATTCAAATTCAAAAAATCTATGAATATACTTTTACTTACTGCCAGCTTTTCGACGATAGCGACGTCGAGGTTTCACATGAGCCACATGCTGTCCTGGAGGATGCTTTCCCCCCTTTCTTGCCTTGCTGGCTATATTTTTTTTTGCCCCTCTCTGTTGAACACATTTTCTTGCAGTCATTTTGGTACGAGCCATTTTTGCGTGGATTTGATGATTCTAGCTGCTTATTTACTGATTAGTATAATAACTAGTATAAAAATGAACTGTAGCTCACTTACATTGCTGAAACAAGAAGATAATTTAAAAAATTTCTGCAGGGGGGGGGGGGGGGAGGCGTGTAGAATGAGATGGATGAAAAGATTAAAAGATTGGAAAAGAAAAAGAGCAAAAAGATAAGATCTTTGAAGTGAGAGTGCGGTTATGTGTGCAGTTATGTGCAGTTGATGAATAACACAACAACACAAGCACGCTCAAATAGGCAATCAAGTGAACACAACAACACATCACAAAGAATATCAACATTGATTTTCAATTCTTTCAATTCTTCTTTCTCCTGTCTCACTACTTCTGCTCTGCTGCCTGCCTGCCTTTTTATTCTATCAATCATTGTATCAATCAACTATTTCCTGCGCCAGATTCTTTGTTTCCCACTTCCAAGATCAGTTTTTTTCTCATCCTATCAAAATGACACGCCGCGGACCAAAGCCTGGAGCCACAGCTGGCCAGAAACGAAAAGCTGAAGAAGAAATGTCGATTAACCCTCACACAAAAAGAGCAATGAAACAAAGGGAAAAAATGAATGAGGAGGAGGCCACTATTGAACGGGCGAAGAATGCAGATCGTGCAGCAGTAAATTATCATATTCGACAGCTGAAAAATACCGATGCATTCAGAGAGGCAAATACTGAGGATCAAAAGAAGATGATTGAGGATAAAAGAACAGAGATCATGAATAAAAGGTAGTTAACAAATCTTGAAATCTTGTTAATATAAATATTAATAGAATATAGACTTAGCACCGGGATTACAGCATCGATGCTGGAGCAGAGACAGGAAGATATCTCAAAACCAAGTGAAAAGTAAGTTCTATATTCTACTAATCATTATATTAATCATTCTAATGATTTATCACAGGCTTGCCGCATGGAATCATTTGTTAGATTCTGAGGACACCATGCAAGAAGTGAAATGGCGGCTGGAAGATGAAAAACGGTTTGGTAAAGAAAATATGCCAACTGAGGAAGATTCCCGGGCTGCGTATGAGGAAGGGGTGAAACTGATGAAAAAAGGAGGAAGTCTTGCTGCTGTTTTATACAAGCAGTGGATTCTCTCATGGAAAGATATCAGCAATTCTCTTTTTCAAAAATTCCGACATCATTCTTTCAACAATACTGCCAGTCATCATCGATTTTTAAAAAAAAATTTCAAATCAGGAGCTTTCTGTTTTGAAAATGCTGCTTTGTGCAGAACAAATTGACTCAAATTTGGCAAAGAGATGGTGGAGTGAGCAAAAGACTGAAGATTCAGAAAAGGATATTGATGCTCGTAAACAGGCTCATAGAGCCTTGAAAGAGGAAATGACTCCAGAGGAATTTATGCAAATGAGATGGAGCCCGGATGAGTGCATGCTTTTTAAGTCTGAAAGTTGATTTTTTTTTTTTTTTTTTTTTTTTATGATTATAGCAATCATTCTACTAATCTGTTTTTTGTTGAAAAATTTTTTTATTAAAGCAAGCTAACTTAGTTTAGTACATTATCTGTTTGTTTTGATTTTCTTATTTACTTTTTTTATGATGTTATAATATTATCAATTTTTCATTCATTCATTCTTTCTTTCTTTCTTTCTTTATTTCTTTATTTTAGAATGATGAATACTTTTTCTTTCACTTTCTTTTAAAATGCCTCCATCTGGTTATTCATATCTTCTTTCTCACAAAGATCTTATTATTAATCTTCATCAACACAATCTAACTCAACAAGATATTATCTCTCAATTGAAACGAGATCATAATCTTGAAGTTAGTCGATCAACTCTTGTTCGTTGTCTTCGAAAATGGAATGTTAGAAAAACCAAGAAATGGGAAGCTGATGAATCAATTCACAATCTTATTCAAGAATTGTTTTCACGAGGCTTGCAGGATGCTGATATTCTATCAGTTATTCAACAAAAGCATCCTGAGTCTCAACTCTCTATACGTGAGCTTCGTCAAATTCGGCAGCAATTGAAACTTCATCAGCGAAGAGATGACTATGAGAGTGATGAGATGCAGAAAGAGCTTATATCTACTGTACAGAAAGAGCTTGACAGTGGATTTATTCAGGGTTTTGGAAGAGGACATCTGTACACCCATTTTAGGCAGCAGGGGCATAGCATTTCACGGTATGTTTTGATTAATATAATGATTAGTATAATACTAATAAAATCAGAGATCGTCTATTCAAAACAGTTCGGCTTCTCGATCCAGATGGAATTACACGTCGGCTAAATGATCTCCAACGTCACCGAGGATCCTACATTGTTCCCGGACCAAATTATCTTTGGTCTATTGATGGTTATTGCAAGCTTCAACATTGGGGAATCGAAATCTATGCAGCAATTGATGCATATTCTCGATATATAGTGTGGATATATATTGGAATCACAAACCGTACTGCTGTTTCTGTTCTTCGACAATTTCTTGATGTTCTACAAGCAACCGATACTTTTCCTCAGGTTATTCGTTCAGATAGAGGAACCGAAACTTCAATGATTGCAGCTGCACAACTCAAACTACATCAAGCAACTGATTCAAATACTTCTTTGAATGAGTGCTATCGATTTGGAACAAGTACACTAAATCAACGAATTGAATCTTGGTGGGGACAACTTGCAAAACAGTTGGCAAATTACTGGAGAGTATGAAATTCCATATTCTTTCTACTAATTATTATACTAATCTTTATGCTAATCTTCTCTCAGCGCTATTTTCTGAATCTCAGTCATACAGGTCTATATCACACCAATAAATTATCTGATCGTATTGCCTTTCTCGCTGTATATATGCCAATTATTCGACAAGAGATGACAAACTATGTGAGAGTCTGGAATAATCATCGAATTCGAGCTCAACGTAAACGACCTGATGGGGTATATGGACAGCCCTGGAAGCTCTATTATCATCCTGATAATGCATTACAGCATGGCTTAAAACCAGATTCACAAGTGCTTTCAGAACTTCACATGCACTTTGAAAACTGGGGTATGTAATATCTTCATTACTAATATCTCTGTTGATCTAATATTATAGAGATACTAATACTTGACAGATATTAATGAGTATCTACCACTGGAGACAAAGAATTGGTGTCAGAATCAGATTTCAAAATTGGGATTTTCTTCTGGAAGAGTCACTGCTGCAGCTGTCAATGAACAGGGTGAACGTATACATAAGATAATATATCTTCAGCTGCGAAAACTTGTACATGATCATATAAGATTTCAACAAGTTCCTATTCTACAGGAATCTGAAAAGCCAACTGGTGCTTGGGACTGGCTGACAGAGCGATTGCAGGAGCATGAGATGAATTTTGATAATGTGATGGAAATGAAAATCTATGATGAGAATAGTGAGAATAGTGAAGATATCAAGCCTGATATCTCTGATGAGAACAGTGAGGATGTTAAGCCAGATGTATCACAGATGTAATTAGATTGAATATGAATAAGTATTCTACTAAGTATTCTACTAATATTCTCAAGAATATACTTTTTAAGTTTGTTACTATAACAATTATTCTATAAATTTTATATTGTAGTGCTACATGAATTTTGAACTAGATATATATATATATATATATATACAATGTATGTACACCGGACACACAGAATATATGTATTCATATACTCAAACACTCTATAACTTGAAAATTATAATCATAT